ACACACACACACACACACACACACACACACACACACACACACACACGCACACACACACTAATTAGTAGAATGAATACATTAGTCAAGGTGTTCCAAGTATGTGCAGATGTTTTTTTGAAATGACACTAATAGGAAACAAACCGCATGTTTCTTCTGCACAAAGACAGACGTGTCAGGTTGCTGCTGCAGCAGCAAACAACCTTTTCAATGCACAGGCACCCACACACACACACACACACACACACACACACACACACAAAGACATTGTAAAAACACAGCTGCATGCCACTCCAAGCATTTGGAGAAAGGGGCGAAGGGATTGATATCAAGAGTCAAGAGGAGACCGCTTGACTTTCTGTTCTTGACTCCGGCTCCGTCCTTTACCTCTTTATTTTCTAACAATTTCTCCTTTTTTTTGTCTGCTCTTCTTTTTCTCTTGATTTTCCCTTTTTGCAGACATCTACTCTGCTGGTGACTCACCCAACGGTTTTATTTTTTTACAGGGCCTTGAGTCTTTCATTTGTACTAGCCCTCACAGATACCCTGAGGTAATTACATCTTGTATCTACTGAAAGTAGCTGTCGCCTCTAAATGGTGTAGTGTGATTTAGTCGCGTACGCAGCCCAGTCAAAACAGGAGGAGGCGTCGCGGCTATATTTGGACGTGTGTCAAGACACAAAGTGGTGGCGTCTTCTCAGTTTGGTGTTGACTTTGTACGGAGTGTCTATCGCGAGTGGCACTGCGCTGGCTGTCAGCTCTCCCTCTATGTGCAGCGAGTGACTAGACGTATCTGCGGATTGTTAAAGATTGTCGACCAACTCGTCTTTTGACTTTGTTCTCCCTCTCTTTAGTCCGCTCTGTTCTTTTTTTTTCAGTTTTTGATGAGGGGGAGGGAGAGCTATTTATATCCTTGTCCAACCTGTAGGACGAGTCCTGAGTCTAAACAGGACACAAGTTAGAAAACAAAAATAGAAAGGGGGAGGAATTCATTATGTCCTTCATTCAGCATCTATTGTACTTCTGCCCAACCTGAGAGAGGGATCCCTCTTCAGTTGACCTCCCAGAGGTTTCTTCCTTTTTCTGTTTCCTTTTTCTTTGTATGTTGTACAGATTGTAAAATTTTTTTTGTCATATTGGGCTATTCAAATACAAGTGAATTGAATCTGTAGGAAGGGATTACCAAATGTCAGGCGGTGGGGTAGACTATATCTCCCTCAATCACACGGAGAACCTAATCTACCTAATCTCTCGCATAAATCGGCACAATCCCAACGGTCTCTACAGCCAGACGGGCCGTATCGCACTGTGTCGTTGGTGATTTCCATAATGACACGCTGACACTCCTGCACAAAGTAAACCTAGCTTTGCAGTGCATTGTTTCAAGAGGAGCTGACTGTACTGGACTTCAGTCCGTTCTGATTTGGCAACACTTGCGGTTCCTGCCGGGAAACAACAATTTGCGTTTTTGATAACACAAGTCTCACGAGTTCAGTCCAAAATTACACACCTCAGGCAGCTAAAGTCCGAAATAGAAGCGAAGAACAACTCGTGTGCAGTCTCTCTGTTAGAAACTGAGGGCTTCGTTGTGGGCATCACTTTGTTTTAGTAAAGAAGACCGTCAGCAGCTGAACTCATGATAATGTTGTCTTCGGTGTTCTGCATCACATCCTGTGCACTAAGCTTTTCATGTCGTTCATTTGTATGCAATTTGGCGGACGAATACTAATGACAACCGTATATAGAGAAAGTAGATACAGAATGCAAAGACATTGATCTGATGGTGCTACAAAATTGACAGCCATGAATAGTAACACATGGGTTTGGTACAATGCAAAAGTTAATTAACTTAAAGGACATCTTTGAATACCAAAATACAGTTGTCAGTTTTAGTGTGAGACTAACACAAACCGGCATGAGACGGGTGTAAAGGGTGGTGTTTTTCAAAGCAGAGAATGAATATCCCACAATTCCTGCAGTGTCCTGACCCACCTCAACCAAAACACGCATTGCAGCTTTAACATGCAGCTTGTTTCGGATGCTCAAATGTATGTGTCTACATGTGTGCGCACGCTTTGTGTGCTATTCCAGTACATGCCTTTCCAGCTCCTCTCGCACAGAAAAAACTAAACACGCCATTTAAATAAAATCAACACACAATCACACAACCACGGGTTCAGAGACCGTTGTTCCTCCCTGAGTGCGGCACGCAGCTGTAATAAACTGTAACGGAATATCATTCTCAAAGAGAACTAAAAACATTAGAGCCTAGTATTACTTGGAGAGAGCCAGGAGAGAGAGAGAGAGACTGTGGAGGGATTAAATGTGGTTGCAGAGGTCCTGAGACTAAACCACAACACGGTTTCTAGACTTAAAGTCATGTTTGCTACGGGGGAACCTTGTTATTATCAGCTATTTTAAAGTGGTCAGAGAGATTATTCCTCAACTGGAGGACCCAGTTTCATGTGCATGACGAAGCCATAATGTACTGACTGAGGTTTTTATAAACTTGCCTTTTTAAAGAAGTTGAAACAGCAGCTTTACAGTTACCTGATACAGTGAAGAGTTTGTTGCGGGCCATGTGGACTTAACACGTGATGATTAGTGCTGTACACCGATGATGGATGAAGGGCTTCACACCTCTGTAATCATATAAAGAGCGATAAAGTCATTGCCGTATGGAAGCTTTCCATCATGCCTTGTCTTTTTCTGGTGTTGAGTCAATAACTTACCTCTGTTTGCAGGCTTTTACACACTCTTTAGAGGTGTGAGGTTTGTGAGCAAATAAGGGAAAAGTCTGAAATGGTCACTAGGCGTACACACTGAAAGTCAGTCGATGAAAGCCACTTTACATTATTATCCAGTGAGTCTTAGACTCATCATCGAGCCAACAATGTGACTTATTAAGACAATTCCATTGTCGAGTGATTCCATGCCTATGTCATTTCAACACAACACAAGCAGGTCATTGAACATTTTGTAATACTTAGGATTTCTTAAAGTTGAACTTTGCAAAGTGATAATGGTCATAATACCACAGTGAAGAAGTGGTTATTTTCTCTCAGCAAACCTCAAATATACAATGAAAACAAGCAAACCATATTGCATTCTCCCATTCTTAATCCCTTTACTATTTCTTTTCCCAGGCACTTTCATTTATATCTATTCAGTTTTACGAAACCAGCAACTGGAAACTGGGGGTGTGTGTGTGTGTGTGTGTGTGTGTGTGTGTGTGTGCCTGTGTGTGTGTGTGTGTGCGTGTGTTTCTCTGTCGAAAACAAAAGGCCCTGTGTAGGTAAATGTTGGAGCAGGGTATGTTTTGCTATTTATAACCCATAGGAGGCAAGGAATACGAGAGACACTGGTGTTCCCGACTGTGAGTGTGTGTGTGTGTGTGTATCGGCCTTTGTTTCCTTGTATAAGCATGTTCTCCTCTCGTTTTCCCTCAGAATAATAGCTTTGTTATTCCTTGCTGTCGTTGCAGAGAATACGTGTGCACAACTGGTTGTGTATGTGTGTGTGTTTGGGTGTGTTTGCCAAGGGATTTCTGTCATTCCAGCAATGGTCGGCATTTAGACTGTGTCTCTGTTTTTGTACCTCCTAATATGGAGGGGTTCTGACACTGCACACACACACAGTTCTATGTATGATTACGGTAACCCAAACAGCGATGCTAATTTAGAGCACAGACTCACACGCTCACTGTGCGTGTGTGTGTGTGTGTGTGTGTGTGTGTGTGTGTGCACACACATCCGGTAGTAGAAACGACGCCAAAAACACATCCATCTTTTCTGTTCTATTCTATTCCTTTTCACCCATTTCCAGTGCTGCTGTTGGCAACGGGCCAAGCCCCTCTGTGATTGACATTTACTTCACACACTGCAGCCTGACATCTGAGCACCAGGCGCAGCAGCACGGAGATGATGTCACGCCAAATTATTTCAAGGCTCGCTCTGTGTGTGTGTGTGTGTGTGTGTGTGTGTGTGTGTGTGTGTGTGTGT